CAGTAATTCTGTCTTTTCTACAGTTTCATCCCAGGTGCTTGTGTAGTATTAAATGACTTCTACTGTAATAGTAACACTGATTTTGTACTCAACGTAATTCATAATTATTATCAATATCTGATTATATGACCTGCAGCCTAAAACATCTGATTTTACAAGTGTACAGTCATAATTTATGCTAACATTTTGTCTTCCTTCCGGCTAGATGTATATTTTTGACCGACCGGGTATGTGCGGCCAAAGGATTGAGGTACACGGTGATGTCATTGATGCTACACCCTGGGAGCTGCAGGAAGCCATCTCTATCAGGGTGGTCAGAGGAGGGTAAGTGCTGGAAGCATTTATTTATTTATTTATTTCCCCCTTCTTGCGTAAAACAAATCCATATGGATCCTCTTGCTGTCTGTAACAGATACTACTTGTTTTCTTGTTTTTATTTTGGATTTTAGGCATGCATGTATGTATTTAACTTTTTATTATCTTGCACTGGACTTTGGACTTTTCTTTTTTTTTATTGACACATTTATTTATTAGGTTTTAACTAGTTTTACATAATATACAGTGAACATAAAATAAAATAATGACAAAAGGCATAATAATAGAAACAAAAATAAAGCAAGCCATAGCAAAGGGGGAGGGGAGGGCAGACATACATATCAAATTAGCACTTCAAGCCGTCAAGTCCATAGTGTGTACATTGCATTTCTCAAAAAAGTTTTGACCATATGGCCCAAAACTTGTTCAGTTTGTTTCTTAATGCATAAGTTATTTTCTCCAGAGTTGGTATAGACGTCAGTCCGTTAAGCCACTGAGATAGTCCACATATTTTTTTTGATTTTTCCAAGACTTGGCTATACATCGCTTAGCTTCCAAAAGACCTATCGTTAACAGAGCTCTGTTTACGGCAGGTACAAAATTGTTCGGGTATATATTTAAAATACATATTTTGGGATCAAGTGGAATCACATCACCAATGATTTGGCCTAACAGATTTATTACCTTTTCCCAAAAGACTTTCACCTGTGGGCACTCCCACATGCAGTGAAACAACGAACCCCTATCCACTCCACACTTAATACAGGTGTCTGGGACTTTGGACTTTTAAACGCTTTTATTTACCAAATGCAGAAAGTAGCTTTCTTACTACATATCAATGCATAACTCTGCAGTGAGTATCTAAAAGAGAAAAAATGGCATTAAGTGACACAAAGCTTTTCACAAGGAAATAAGTAGAGAAGTTTTTCATGATTTACTAGATTTGTTTTTCTTTTCTAACCAGAAACTGTTTAATCACCAGAATTTATAGCTGCAAAACCTTTTGTCAAGTGTACTACGTATATCTACAGCTCATCATTCCCTTTTTTT